AAACCCTAAACCCTAAACCCTAAACCCTAACCCGAAGCAAGCAGACGGTCTGCAGGTTCTCGTCAGTGAAGCTCCACTCCAGGCAGCTTACGGCTTCCTTCGTTCAGCGCTGTAGGCTTGACTGGAACCCTCTATAACCCCAAGGGTCCAAAGGACCCAATAATCAGGTGCTTTGGTTTCGGATAGTATTTATGTAGGTTACTATTTGGGAGAGTATATGATTATTAGGTACTTGGACCCTTAGGGTAACCTACCTTGTTCAGGTTCCTGCTAGGGGTTAGGAGTTTAGGGGTTTAGGATTTAGGGTTTGGGTTTCATGGGGTTCCTTAAGGGTTCCTTAAAGGGTTCTATAAGGGCTACTATCAGGGTTTAGGGTTTATCATCCCATCCAAAGCATCCTGTTACTGGCAACACAGGTTCGCATCTAATATAGGGGCCTTGATCATTGCCTATACTACTTGGGGGCTCCTTATTATAATTCTAGTACAGGTTCCTTATTATGATTTCCTTTTTTGGAACCCTTGGCAAGGTAGGCCATTTGGGATTGAGGTAGGGCTTAGGGCTTAGGGGTTTGGGGTTTCGGGTTTAGGGCTATGGGTTGTTGGGACTTGGCGTTCCAGGATCCTGCGAGGTATCTATCCTGAATGGGACGCCCCAGACCCTACACCCCAAACCCTAAACTCTGAACCGCTTTGATTCTGGATGTCTTTTTAGCGGGTATTACATGAGCAATCTATGGGGTATGCGAACTCCAAACCTTTAAGCCTATGCCGACATGCCTACGAAGCACTAGTTGACTTGTTTAGAGGACCTCCAAGACAAGCGCAGTGAAACTAACAGCGGGAAGTACATTGGGCTTCTTATGGCTCAAGAAATCGCCCGGATAGGTATATAGTGCTTCTTTCGGTTATTCAGAGGTTCGTTCCTTAAAGCATATAGTGCTTCCCAGTATTGTTCGTCACTGGGCAATCCTCAAACCTTCTGGCATGTACCCTACGGGGGCATTGGGCTCTCTGGCATGTGGCACCACAACTCCCAAGCCCTAAACCCCAAACCCCAAACCCCAAACCCTAAACCCTAAACCCTAAACCCCAGACCCTAAACCCCAAACCCTAAGCCCTAAACCCTCAACCCTAAACCCTAAATCCAAGCTCTGTATGCCATCACCCAGAACTGGACGGTCCCAAGATTGGAATTTCCGACATCTGCGGAGGGCGTTTCGGGTTGAAGGGATGTTCAGGGTTTAGGGGTTTGGGTTTAGGGTTTAGGGTTTAGGGGTTTAGGGTTTAGGGGGGTTCGGGATTAGGGTTTAGGGTTTAGGGTTTAGGGTTTCAGGCTTTAGGGGTTGCCTGGACCCTGAAGAACCTACCTTTTCAGGGATCCTTAGTATGAATTCCTTATGAAGGTCCTTAAAAAGGTAGGTTATTTGGGGTTAAGGTAGGGTTTAGGGGTTTTGGGGGTTAGGGATTAGGGTTTGGGGTTTAGGGTTTCAGGGTTTCAGGGTTTAGGGGTATAGGGATTAGGGATCCAGCGCGCGCGCAGGACATTGCCATATCACATCTGATCTCCATGCTGCTTGGCCTCGGTTTGAAGCGTAGCTCTGGCCCGAAAACCCTTCCTTTTCAAGGAATCATAAAATGTCAGACACCATAATGTAGGAACCTGATTAAGAAACCCTGGTCCTATAGCCACAAATATTAGAGCTCATATACAGACTAAAGAACCCTAATACAGACCCAAGATTT